CCACTTTTGCTTAGTTACCCAGGGTCCCTTCCTGTTTCTTGCAGTCACAGTGTGCACCTGGCTGTCACCTGGTCCTTAGCACCTCGATCGGTGTGTCTTTCACCTTCACCTCCCTGCCTCTCTCACTGGGGCGCAGCCTGACCTAGCGGCGGCCAGTGGCCCCGTGGCCATGGTCCCTCTGCGCCCTGCTGACGTTTCCCCGTAGCCACCAGGTGACAGCTTCTGAATCTGAAAGTGGGACCTGCCTGGTAAACCTGACAGATGCGAGCAACCTTGTGACAGTGTGACATCATCTGCTTGGATTGTCCCTAGGGTGTCGGCCTGGAAAATTCTAGCAGCCCAGCCTGCCAGGGCTAGCATGATGTTTATGGAAGACGGCGCCTGACCCAGGGCTTCGCAGTCGCCTGACGGTCCAGGGAGGCGCTCGGCCTTTGGTGGTGTTGAGTTCACGCTTTCTCTTCGCCTCAATACTGAGGAGCAATATTGCAGAGGAAAGTCCTTGTCTTTGTGCGGGACAGGCAAGAGAAAGCGAGACCCTTTGCAGTGAGCCCGGAAAATTTACCTGTCTGGTCAGTTTTTGATTTAGGCAGGAGGTGCGTGTCTGTGTGTGCGTGTCTGTGTGTGCGTGTCTGTTTGTGTGCGTGTGTGTGTGCGTGTCTGTGTGTGTGTGTGTGCGTGTCTGTGTGTGTGCGTGTCTGTGCGTGTGCATGTCTGCGTGTCTCTGTGTCTGTGCATGTGCATGCATGTCTGCGTGTGTGCGCACGTGTCTGCGTGTCTGCATGTGTGTGCATGTGTGTGTGCATGTCTGCATGTGTATGTGCATGTCTGTGCGTGTGTGGGGCAGGGGCAGCAAGGACAGGTTTGTTTGACGGGGCTGTCTGAGGTGCACTGTTTTGATGAATAGAATTCAGTGCACAGCAGTTTCAAAAATATCTGCTCCCTCGCAAACCCATCGAACCCTTTCTCACGTGAGCTGGAGGGACACACGCGACAGTGTGACTCTCTGAGAGCTCAGCTCCCTTTCTGGACAGTCTCCTTCTCTCTCCAGGGACAGCGGGTGGTCTTGGGCCTGACGCAGGGCTCTGGGTCAGCACCCTCACCTTTCCCTTGGCTGCATCCTGGGGGAGGGAGGCGGAAGGAGGCCTCCATTCTGATCGGCAGCTCGCTTGCTCTTCTCGCTCGGGCGGCACCCTCCTCCTCGAGGAGCTCGGAGGGTGGGGCTCATGTCATGGGAACCCCCCCCCAAGAGGGTCTGCGCTGTGTCTTCCCTCTTGGTGGGTGGTCTCGAGACCCTCCATCCCCAGACCACTCTCGCGCTGGGAGCTGCCAACTGCAGTTCTGAGGAGTGGATGTAGAAATAGACACGCACGTGAAAATATCCCCACCCTTTTTAAAAATAGGTGTGTTTTTATTTTAGAGAGATAGGAAGGGAGAGGGAGGGAGAGAGAGAGAAACATTGATGAGAAACGTTGATCGGCTGCCTCCTGCACACCCCCTACTGGGGATCGAACCTATAACCTGGGCATGTACCCTGACCGGGAATCGAACCGTGACCTCCTGGTGCAGGGGACACCGCTCAACCACTGAGCCACGCCGGCCAGGCGGGCAGGATATGTTTGAAGCTCATAGAGAAGTGTACAAATAGGCCTAACCCAGTGTCAGCACGTAATAGCCACTATAATGCTTGTCAGCTGGGAATTGAAGTCATTCAATTCATGTCTGGCCATTAAGAGCAGCCTCTTTACACTGTATTTATATACAGGTATNAGCCACGCCGGCCAGGCGGGCAGGATATGTTTGAAGCTCATAGAGAAGTGGACAAATAGGCCTAACCCAGTGTCAGCACATAATAGCTACTATAATGCTTGTCAGCTGGGAACTGAAGTCATTCAGTTCGTGTCTGGCCATTAAGAGCAGTCTCTTTACACTGTATTTATATATAGGTATCCCCCCAAAAAAGTATGCACACTTCCACAGCTGAGAGCTCAATTTTGAAAATGAAATGTATTTTAATAAACACTGCCTTTATAGTTATCCAAAGTGTGTGTATACATTTTTTGGGACACCCTATATATATTTACACATCTATCTCATTGTATTTGTATATTTACTTACACAGAGAACGTAGTGTATGCATATGGTGGTAAATATATTTTCTTATAATTCAGAAACATCTTAGCAGGCTGCAGTGGCACGTTTCTCTGTCTGATGCATCTTCATGGCAAATTAATTTCCTTTCCTTTCATTTTGAAAGTGTGTGAAGCCGTAACAGAATAATTTCTTGTACCTTAGTTTTCTGTCGTAGAAAAAAAATCGGGCAGCTGCTGGAAACTGCCCTTATACTTCGGGACTGTGAAATGCTGCTTTATTTTTATGTACCAGCTCTTTGTGGGTGGACTGCAGAAATCCCTGCTCCTGGAAATGTTTCTGAGCCCCCTGGGAAACTGGGGAGGGAAAACGGAGCTAATTAAAAAAGCTGCCACCCGCCTCCTCTCATTAACTTGCCCTCCGCTCCTGGGAGAGGGTGTGGAAATACGAAAACGCGGGCAGTGTCGGAGGCGAATGCCGCCCTAGGGGTCCACGGTGGCCCCTCGTGTTTGGATGCAGAATAAATAGTTCATAGCAAAGAGGCAACGAGCCACAGGGGCGCTGGTGTGCCCGCTCCCGCCTCCACTCTGCCTCCCACGCAGGGCGGGGCGAATGGTGGTCCCTTCAAGCAGGTGCGCGGGCCGGGCGGCTGCAGCCGGGGACCTCATTGGAATTCAGCAGCTTGAACCCAAGAGCATCCGGCCCTCCCTGCCGCTTGGTCTGCTGCTGGGAAAGAGCAGGGCCCCTTTGTGTTCGAAAGCCACACGTCGCCAGGGCCCGGGGATGCAGGGGCACGGGAGTCTCCCTCGGATCTCTGCTGGACGCCGGAGAAGCTCACGGCATCCTCACAGCTGACTTCTCGTGACATCTTGAGGAGGTTTAGATCCTGGAGATCCCAGCTGGGGGGAGTTTGGGGAGCAGAGATGGCTGTGTCCTTCTGGAGGCTGTGGCCCCCCGTGGAGTGGGCCCGGTGCGTGTGGATGGCGGTAACCAGCAGTGGGGACTCCCGGCTGCTGGTCCTTCAAGAAAGCCCTGGAAGGAGGCAAGTTACTCTGTGCACTTTGTCAGCATTTCCCCTGATGATTGCAGTGCTCCCCAGGGGCCAGGGCGACACCCAGGGCCCACCGGGCAGGTTCGGACGCTTGATCTCTTAGATGCTCGGTTCTGTAACTTTCTCATGGTTTTCATACCTGTAAGTGGACTCTGCAAACCTTGGGCACCTGGATCTGTGGTTGTCGAGTGTGGATTTAAATTCTGCCTGAGACGGAAGCTGAGCCCTTTCATGTTCATGTCCGTCTGTAAGAAGCCAATGTGGCCCCTGTGGGGTTTACATGAATCAGGTCTTTGCTTGTGAAATTGGATAGTTCGCAGGCTGTGGCTCTTGGGATCCCATCAGAAGCAACTGTGATGTTTCTCTTCATCTTTTGGGGTCCCTGGAGGGGTTTGTGGCTAGTTGGAGGAGCCAGGGTCCTTGGAGGGGAGGGGTGGGGGGGCCTTTGGCATCGATAAAGTGTAAAAACAACACTGATGTAGAGTTTCTGAAGGCGACCTCACCAGATGGCCCCTTTTTTCAGGCCCGGCTGATGCGGAGATGGCTGGGCTGGTTCCTAGTCTCTGTGCAGCTGGCAGGTGGTCTTTAGAAGATGCTGACCTCGGCCCAGGTCATTGGCCCTTTGACCCTGCTAGGAGCTGGGCAGCCTGAGCAGTTCATGCCCAGACTCACCTGACGTGTCACCCTGATTACCCATCTTCACCAGGATTGCCCTCCGGGCCACCTGTGCCACCAGCAGTCCTAAGTGCCCGCCCTCTTGATAATTGCGTCCCTTGCTGCCAATGAGTAAATGGCATTTTGGTTTATTTAAAGTATCCTGAGAGGTGGGAATCAGCCAGGTGGTGCTTCTCGTGCTCTGGTGTCCTCAGAGCGAGGTGGGGCCAGGACCATGGACGCTGGGGCTCTTCGGCGAGTGAGGAGCTGCCTTTAGCCGGAGGACACTCGCCTGGCACGGCGATTGGGGAGGCATTCATCTGGCTTAAAATTGAGTCCCCGGCAGAGGGAGGGTGATGGAGAAGGGCGGCCTGCTCTAGGTTTTCTTGAGTCCAGGACAAGGCTTTAGTTTAGATTCGTGGCCTCCCCATGTCACCAGGCGGGGCGTCCTCTGGGTGGAATTTTGGTCCATTTTTCTAAGTGAAGGATTTTCTTGGAGAGCAGACTTTCCTGCAGAGCAGCGAGGGCCGTTCCACATGGTGGGGTCACTGCCTCGGGTCTCGGTGGGGCTCGTCCTCCAGCTGACTGGCTGCGGGCTCCATTTGTTCACTCGCTCGCTCACACGTTTATTCTCTGCCTCCTGGCTCAGTCTTGGTGACGCTGCGATTCCCAGCTGCCCTCCTGACCTTTCAGCTCAGTGGAGAAGAAAGATCATAAATGCGATGAGAGAGAATAAGTCCGTAGTAAACGAGACTGAGAAGCACTGGGGGGGAGGGGGAGGCTGAGTGGCAGGGAGTCGGGGTCCTGGGGTGTTCTGGAGCCACAGCATCGAATGTGTTCCTGGGACCCCTCCTTATCAGTGTGGACCGACCCCAGGCAACACATGCCAACAGGGATCGAAAGATGCCACTGCGTTTGGATTTGCCACGAAGGCCAGAAATGTGTATTTCGAGTAGAGCTGAATTCAGAGAACGTTTCACTTGGGCACAAAGCAAATGATAGTGAGATTCGCGCCCTTGGGACTCATGCTGTGCAATGACGTTCCTCAGGCCTGTCCTCGAACAGTGTAGTTGGGCAGTGAGCCTGGTTCCCCCTGGGGGTCAGGAGGCCAAGTGCAGCTCAGCAGCTGTGGCCCCTGGCCCCTGGCCCCCGGGAGCAAGCGCAGCCCTGGCTCTGCCTAACCTGTGTCTCCCCCTCTCTCCATCAGGAGTTCTGACTCTGAAGAAGCATTTGAGACCCCAGAGTCGACGACCCCTGTCAAAGCCCCACCGGCCCCACCCCCGCCACCCCCGGAGGTCACTCCAGAGCCTGAGGTCAGCGTGCCAGTGCCACCTTCCCCGGAAAAAACAGGTAACCAAGGGCCAGTGCCCTCTGGGGAGACAAAGCGACTGCTGCTCCTGGGGCGGGGCTGGAGGAGGGCACCCACCCCCGGGGCTGTCGCTGGGGCCTCTCTCTGAGCTGTTTTTTTGGGAGTGAAGCTGAGGGAGAGCTGGTACAGCAGGTGGGTCTGTGTTTACTTTGCAGGCGTTTGGGGGAGGCGTCTGGGAAGACCGCTCCTTTAGCCCTGGATGCCTCCACCTGCACCCAGATTGGGTCTGAGTGGGGCAGGTGGGTCTTGGGCGTTTTTGGCGCCACCTTGGGGTCCACTCTCTGGCCCTTTGCTCCCGTGAGAACACTGATCTGGGCGGCCCATAGAATCTGCAGTTTTATTAGAGGACACGGCCCCATGGATGTGGGGAAGGAAGATGTTTAGTAAACAGGCGAGAAGAGAAAGGGATAGGTCACCGCATCCACGCAGGGATGCCCGTTTATTTCTCATTAGCCTCGAGTTACCTGGTTTCCTACCCCTTTCCCACATTCTTTCTCCCCTCGTGTGGCTTAAAATACAGGNGCCACTTTGGGGTCCACTCTCTGCCCCTTGGCTCCCGTAAGAACACTGATCTGGGCGGCCCATAGAATCTGCAGTTTTATTAGAGGGCACGGCCCCATGGATGTAGGGAAGGAAGTAAACAGGCGAGAAGAGAAAGGGATAGGTCGCCACATCCACGCAGGGATGGCCCGTTTATTTTNGGATAGGTCACCGCATCCACGCAGGGATGCCCGTTTATTTTTCATTAGCCTCGAGTTACCTGGTTTCCTACCCCTTTCCCACATTCTTTCTCCCCTCGTGTGGCTTAAAATACAGGCGTTTCTAAAGTAGCTTTGAGATGGGTGGTCTCGAGGGGATGGGACGGATCTCATTTCCCGGCCGCCACCTGCCCGCCTGGCTGGTGCTCTCTGCCCTTGCCCTGCAGGTGCCCAGCAGGGACGGGCCCGCCTCTGGCCTGGAAGGAGATGGGACTGTGAGAAATGGCCCCGCAGGCGGGTCAGGGCCCGGGCGGTACCATCCTTAGACCCGGCCAGCCTGGGCCCCGCACTGTAGAGGGCCCCCCTTCCTCAGGACACAGCCCCCGCTGTGGGAGGAGTCTGGGGCTGCACCCCTTCCGGACATGCTGTGATACCCAGGAGCGGCCCCGTCCTGGGCCCACCCAGCCCCCTTCTCCTGGCCCATCCCCCCAGGGCTGACTGTGCCCATGTTTGCACCCCTCAGCCAAGGAATAACCAAGGGTGGGGCTGGGCCCTGCGGCCTCCACACACCTGTGCTCGAGGCCGCCCCAGGTGAGGGATGGAGCTTGGGCGGGAGAAGGAACGGGCTGAGGGCGGGGCCTGCGCTTGTGATCCCGCCCTGTTGGGGAGCCAGGGGGGGTTCTGTAAAATAAAATAACATTTTGACTTTAATGTTGGTTCTGGAAAGAAATGGGTACAATTCTTTCTTCCTGCCCTGGGTCCAAGCAGGCTGTTGTTGCAGAAAGGGTGGAGACGCCTGGGCTTGTTGCTGGGGAAGGAGGGCGAGGACCGTTGTCAGGGAGAGCAGGTGTCTGTGCTGGCGTCCGATGAGCGCAGTTGTCCCATCTCCCCCTTTAGACAGCCCGTTAGCAGGGCGTCTGACCCTGCACGGCCAGTCGCGGCTGAGCTCGGAGGGCGCAGTTATTGGAATTATTTGATTCTTCTGGGAAAGAAACCAGGAGGGCGGCTTACATTTCCCAGAGCATTTATGTACTAAAGTGTATAAAACAATCATTTTCTTTTTTTTTTTCTTTTTAAATATATCTTTATTAATTTCAGAGAGAGGAAAGGAGAGGGAGAGAGAGAGAGATAGAAACGTCAATGATGAGAGAGTCACTGATCGGCTGCAGCCTGCAACCCGGGCATGTGCCCTGACCGGGAATCGAACCCTGATCGCCTGGATCCTAGGTTGACGCTTAACCACTGAGCCACGCCCGGCCGGGCACATTCATTTTCTATGATATTATTTAAAAACTCACCCTTAAGTGTAGTGGACAGAGAATGACAGATGGTAACCGCCAGGTTAAATGTGTGATTGAGAATAAACTGTCCTCTTTGGCGGGTGTCGCAGTGCAGGGGTGCTTTAGAAAAGAATTAGAATTAGAAGAAAAAGGGAAACGGCGGTGTGTTGTGGCGTGTGGTCCATCCCCAAGCGCCGGGGCACGTGCAGAGGGAGGCCACTGCCGTGAGCGCGAGTGGGCGCTGGGGTCTCCAGCCGCGCACCCTGGCCGCCTCCCGGGATGCTCGGCCCCTCTGCTCCGTCCTCCGGCCCGTCCTCGCTCCCTCTGCCTCGCTTCCTTTTCGACAAAGCAGAACAATGCCCATTCTTAGAAAGAAACACTCGCAGGACACCCGCCTCTTTCTTGGATGGCAGTTTCCGAAAGAGTAAGCGTTACCGAGGCCCGAGAGGGGCCCCCCGGAAGGGGTGGGAGCCCTTAATCCCTCGGAACTTTTTACTGGAACTTTAATTACTCCGGTTGGAGTCTGACCACGGACCTGACGCTTCTCCTTGGGAAACTGCAGCGAGGCGAGATGTCTGCAGGTTATTTGGCGAGAACGCTTCGGCCGGGACTGTGTCTGCTTAAAGCCCCCGGCTCGGGCTGTACGAAGATCCGTGTGATGTGCAGAAAAGCCCGCTGGTCCTTCTGCGGGCAGCGTGGGGCGTCGCCCGGGCGTGAGGAGCGGCGTCTGCTCGCCAGGGGCTGGAGGAGGCAGCGTCCTTCTGAGAACCTGGGGAAGAAAGGGCCAGGGAGGAGAGGCTGCTGTTCGGTCTCCTCTGCAGAGTGCCCAGGACGTTGCCAAAGGGACCGAAAACACCACGTGAAACAATAGGCGAGACCTTTGGCGCTGAATAAAGACCCGATTTTTCCTCCTGGAAACTTACATTTCACAGAACCAATCACCTTATCTTGGGTCTTGCCGGCACGTTTGTGCTTCACCGGACAAGGACGGGAGTCGCTGGGCTCACCTTGCATCTCTCCGCCCTGGTCGGGGCCGGGCCAGGGTGCAGCTCATCCCAGCCGTTTTCTTTTCTTATCTGTGAAATGAAGAGGGCAACCGGCGAGTCCCCTGAGGTCCTCCCCCTCGGACGTCCATGGTCCCGGGGATGGAGCACTTCGCCGCTGCACAGCCCCTGTGTAGTTAGAGCCCAGCCTGGGCACCGAGGGATGTAATTAAATGTCCCACAATTAAATAATAGCTCCCATTTAGCACCCGCCGCATGCTGGGTCTGTCCTAGGTCTCTCCTGCTGTATCTCCCGCTTGGATAAAGGGATAAACATCCCGAATTACAGTAGTCACTGTTCACGCACTTGGGTGAACGCTGTGCGCCCTGCGTAGGAGACCAGTTACCTTTGATACATGCCCCCGGTGCCCCCTGGTTCATGCCTTTACCTGGTTTCCCATCTTTGTTTAAACGTCTCCCCCTTGGAGGGCTCTGCCCAGCGACCTTATTTTGACATTGCGGGGCCCCTCCCCGGCTTCGTTGTCTCCACGGCGCGTGTCTGAGGGTCCATGTGTTTTCCTGGCTTATTTGTTCCTTGACTGTCTTCTCCCTGAAGAACATGACTCCCCAGAGCACAAGGATTTTGTTGGTTTTGTTCATTGTTGGATCCCCGGCACCCAGAACGGTGCCTGGTCCCAGTCAGGTGCTTGGTAAATGTTTCTGACGACGGAATGATCTGGGCTGTTCTGTAAACGGCCCTGTCGCTCCTGCTTACAGAGGAGGGGCCTGCGGGTAAGCCTGTCCCGGCCGGGAGCTGATACAGGTGAGGGCGGGACTGATGCCCGCGGGATGGGCCGGGTTGGCCGGGGGCTCTGCTGAGAGGGTGATAGTCTGGCACGAGATGAGAAATGCTCCTGAGTGTCCTGTGTCCTTACGTGACTGCCTTGTCTGGTGTCCTCAGGATGCGGCGCTGAGACGGTCCCGGTCCCCGATGGCCCGCGCTGCACGTCGGCGGAAGGCAGTCCTTTCCGGCCCCCCGCCCACCCCTTCTCCACCGTCTTCGACGAAGACAAGCCGATAGCCAGCAGTGGGACCTACAACCTGGACTTTGACAACATCGAGCTGGTCGATCATTTCCAGACCTCGGAGCCCCGCCCCCCAGACTCTAAGAATCAGGAATGCAAAGCAAGCACGCGGAGGAAGTCCACGGACTCCGTCCCCCCCTCCAAGTCCACGCTGTCCCGCTCTCTCAGCCTGCAGGCCAGCGACTTTGACGGTGCTTCCTGCTCAGGCAACACCGAGGCCCCGGCCCCGGAGGCCAACAGCACAGGCCCGGGCAGCGATTCCAGCACCCTTAAGAGAACTAAGAAACCGAGGCCTCCTTCCTTAAAGAAGAAACCGGCCGCGAAGAAACCCTCGGAGACACCCCCAGTGAGAGAGACCCAGCAAGAGCCAGCTGAGGAGAGTCCCGTCCCCAGTGAGGAGAGTCACGCACCCGAGACAAAGACAGAACCGGCCCCGCCGGAAGGTTCTGGACCCGCCCTCACCGAGGAGGCACCCCTGGAACCTGCTGCTGTGCCCAAGGCCGCCTGCCCTCTGGACTCGGAGGGCGCAGAAGGGGCTGTCCCCCCAGCTCCCGGAGGCGGCAGAGTGCAGAGCTCGCCCCCCGTCGGAAGGAAAACGGTGCCTCCTGCCTCGGCCCCGGAGGCAGAGGAGGCGACCCCGGCGGACGGCCTGGGGCAGGAGGGCTCCCCCGCCAAAGGGCTCCCGGTGAGGCTGGAGTTTGACTATTCCGAGGACAAGGGTAGTTGGGACAGCCAGCAGGAAAACCCCCCTCCTACCAAAAAGACAGGCAAAAAGCCAGTTGCCAAAATGCCCCTAAGGAGGCCAAAGATGAAAAAAGCCCCCGAGAAACTGGACAGCACTCCTGCCTCGCCCACCAGGTCCCCCGCGGACCCCAGTGACATCCCGATTGCCAAAGGTACCTACACCTTTGATATTGACAAGTGGGATGACCCCAATTTTGACCCCTTTTCTTCCACCTCAAAAATGCAGGAGTCTCCCACCCTGCCCCAGCCGTCGTATGGCTCTGACCCGGGCGCCTGTGGCGAGTCCGTCGGCCCCTGTAAGGCCTCCTCTAAGACCCCCAGCTCACCCTCTAAATCCCCAGCCTCCTTTGAGATCCCGGCCAGTGCCACGGAGGCCAACGGAGTAGACGGAGACGGGCTGAGCAAACCCGCCAAGAAAAAGAAGACTCCGCTGAAGACGTAAGTCCAGGGGGCCCGGCGGGGCCGGGCGGCGGCTGGACGCTTGGTCACCTGCCTGGGTAAACTGGAGATGCCTGCACCCCCCCCACGTCTGCCATGGTGGCGCCACGTTTGGGGCGGGACACCACCGTGGCATTTCCCGACCCACGTGTCCCTTTGGGTCTCGAGTCCTTGACCTTTTGCCTTAGTGAGTCTGTGGTCTACTGAGCCCTGACCTCCGACCCCAGGGGAGTGCTGGGGAGCCCGCAGAAAGGGAACAGTCCAGCAGAGACCTGCTCAGCCTCCCTGTTGGTCTTTCCCATTTAGCCTGTGAATTGTATTTTTTTGGAGCTCCTCCTAGCAGCTTGGGAGATAGGCTGTTTAAAATGTTGTTTAAATGTATAGTATTTATTTCTGCCCATTAATGAGATGAGTCCAGGAGGCAAACACAGTCGGCTCTGGGCAGCCTGGGTCTCTCCCTGTCCCCCAGCCAGCCCATGAGAAATACCCGCTGGTCTCCATTCCTCTCTGTAGCATCTTTTGCAGATGAGTCCACAGGCCCTATAGACCCAGAAGAGGTCAGTGGGGCCTGAAAGGGAAAAGCCATCCCCTCAGTCCCGGAGGCCGTTAATAACTGGGCCATTGTTCACAAACACTCCCCAGGTAGATTACCTTACGTCCCTGCCTCCAGAACTCGTCCCGGGCCCCAGCCCTAACTCGGGTGGCTGCAGGTCCATTCTCAGGACTTTGGTCCAAGCGTGGTGTGGCTTGGTAGCGGGGCCCTTTCTCCTTGCTCTCGTGTGAAGCATTGTCAATAATTTAACAAGGCTGCAGAGACCAGCAGAACAGCCCACAGCTGCTGGCCCTGTGAATCCCACTGAACCTGCCTGGCGCTAACCGATCGAGGCGGGTGCCCTGTTTACCTCCATCCTGGGCTCTCTCGAGCGAGCATCTCACATTTGAGAAGAGCCCGGGGCTTCCTGAACAGAGGTTCCCGAAGCGGGCTTTGGCCTTGGGTGACCCTGCAGCTGTCTGGTGGGAGGTGGGAGGCACTCCTGGCCAAAAATGTGGACTTTTCTTAGATCAGTTACCCAAACAGCCTTCTGTGAGAGGCTCCATAGATCTGTGTTAGAAGCTTTATTTTAAGCCTCAAGCGAGAGAAGTTGGAAGTGCTCAGACTGCAAAGTCATGTTCTCTCATCTTGAACTAGAGCCAGCTTGTGGGCACCGCCTTCTGCTTGGGCTCCTCAGGTCCCCACGCCCCCCCCATAGCTGGCTTGGCTACCCTGTTCTAGCCTCAGAGCCGCCAGAGGTCTGGGAAGCCAGCCCACCTTGCAGTCTCACCTCTAGTAGGGCAGATGGCTTGGGATCCTACGCTGGGACAAGGCTCTTTTGAATTGAATTTAATTTTTTTCATTAATCGTAACCCGAGGATATTTTTTCCATTGGATTTTTTTTTTAGAGAGAGTGGAAGGGAAGGGGAGAGACACAGAGAGAGAGGAACGTCCGTGTAAGAGAGAAACATTGACAGGTTGCCTCCCACACATGCCCCGGCCGGGGATGGAGCCCGCACCTGAGGTACATGCCCTTGATCGGGAATCGAACCCGAGACCCTTCAGTGCTCGGGCCGACGCTCTAACCACTGAGCCACACCGGCCAGCACTGGGCACGAGGCTCGTAGGCACCGGGGCTTTATGGGATCCCTGGAACCATCACAGGAGGCATCTCCCAGGAGGCCCTCTCCAGAAAGTGTCCACGCTCCCCGGCGGACCGTAGCGAGCGGCTGCTGTGTCCTGACCGGTTAATAACCAGCCAGCTGCAGATCTATCTTTTTGTCAGTTCCTTCTGTCTGTCTCTCTCTCTTTGTCTTCTTGTCTCAGGATGGTTGAAGATGTGATGTCTGTGTGTTCTCTGTTGTAAGTAAATTTAACGGAACCCGCCTTCTTCGCTGAATGTGCTTTGTCCTGCCTTGTCTTCGCCACCAAGCCCTTTTCCATTCCACGCCACGGCTGCTCCCTGCATATCCCTGGGGCGGGCTGGGGATGGCGGGTGCGGGCTTCCCGGGGGCAGGGGTCATTTTCTGTCTCATAGTGATTCGCGTCGGTGAAGCTGCTTGGCTGTGAAAACATGATCATCCAGCGTCTGCCTGCTTGTTGGGAATGGAACTTTCCCCCTTGCACATCGGATAAGACATATTCATCTGAAACCCATGCTTTTTTTTTAAACTCTCATTTCTTTCATTTTAAGTCGATCTAGGCCAGGGGTGGGAACCTCTTTTCTGCCCAGGGCTATTTGGATACTTGTAACATCCTTCGAGGGCGATACAAAATGACCGGCTTAAAAATTAGCCTGCTCTATGTGGTCAAACATTTAATTAACTCATCAAATGGGCCAGACAGAATCATTTCACAGGCCTTATACGGCCTGCAGGCCGGACGTTCCCCACCCCTGATCTAGGCGGGCGATCGCTTTCAAAGTACCTTGGCTTCATGGGAGCATGGCCATCCTGCCCGGCCACGGGTGGCAAGTGACAGCCGTGGCTTGTTCTCGCTGACACGTGAAGCAGAAACGCTCAGGCTGTTTCCAAATTGAGACCCGTGGAAGCCCCTGAAATCGGGGTTGGCTCTGAGTGCGGCTCACAGCTGTGAGAGCCATCGCCCAACAGCTCGGGGCCTGCGTCCTCAGTCACCCAGGACCAGGCTGGGCATCGGTGTGCCACCTGTGGGGTGTGGTCCTGCTGGGCATCGGGGAAACAGAGCAGACCACCCCTGTGTCTCTGCTGCTTTGCCTCCCGGCCAGGAGGGGTCTGTGGGCAGCTCCCAGGGGCCCAAGGACAAGCACCCTCTCTGCCTCCCTGTTCTCCAGGGGAAGCTGGCTTGGTCCCAGGCGTCCCACAGCCCCGGCAGAGGGTTGAGTCTCTCAGGTTCTCTTCTGCCCAAGGGAGTTTAGTATTTGAGAGCCATTAAGCTACTTAAAAAACACACAGCCGATATATTTATATGCATGGATAAATATATGCTTCGATGATCGCACTGTTCGTATGGCAGATGCCGCAAGTGCTGTAAATAACCGTTCGTAGTATTTTTCGTGAGTGAGTGCCATGGCTGGAGCGTTTATTTGAGAGAACACAGGAAGGAACTTGGTCACCAAGTTGCCCGACCACCAGTTGACATGTGGAGCAGGGGAGGGGGTGGGAACTGAGGATAAGGGGCTCCCCCGCCCCAGACCCTTGTTTTGCTGGGGGCAGGACGCGACCATGAGACCAGGGGGTGGGGGGCCAGTCTGCAGCTGGAGAAGCCTCCATTCTGACCACGGAAATGGCCCCTGACCTCCCAGTGGACTTAGTGGAACCGTCTAGGCTGCAAGTCCCTTCCTCTGGCCCCTTCAGGAGTCTTTGTCTGATGTTTCCTTGGCCTCACACCCTCGCTGCCTCCAGTTATTTTTATGAAGGAGAAAGAAAGGAAAAAAAGTCCAGAATGTTGTCTGTTCACTGTGGTTAGGAAAAGTCATTTAAAAAAAAATCATTTATCCCTAAAAAGAGTTCCAGGGATTGATGGTCAACAGTGTGAATGTGCTTAACGCTACTGAACTGTACAGTTAAAAATACTTAAGATGGTAAATGTTATGTTCTGTGTATTTTTTACCAAAGTTTAAAAGAATGATCCCACCTCCAGCCCTGCCTGTAGTCAGACCCCCCCCCCCCC